AACACGATAGAGGCATACACATTTTATGTTATGAGAGGCCTTCAGAAATTAACACCCAAAGAAATCTGTATATTGTTATGGACAGGCATGCAGTAGCATGGCCAGAGGAAAAGAGGCATGGTCTAACAGTCATAAGCAGAGTAGCAGAGCAAGGCCTGTTTGTTCAGATTCTTCCCTGCGCCCTGCATCCTCATACTTATTTTCTCCTTGTAGGAAAGATCCCTCTGGAATGAAAGTCTTATGACCTATTTTAGTGGAAAGTCAGAGAATTCTTTTATGGCCTGCTTCAGGAGAGAAAGTTGAGGGACAGCCAGAGAGACCTTTACTCTTTTCTCAGTTGCCAAGGTACCATATTTTGAGTTGCGTTCCTGTCATTGTTAATGCATTATCTTAGAAGGCCTAGGTGTCAAATCCACTGTTAGCTAAAAAAGAGCATTATATGAGCAACTGAATTACCAAAGAAAATGTGTTCATCTAAATTGAACTTGGAGTGAATTGGGCCTTCTCATATTCTTAATAGGATCTCTTTGCATTTGAGTTTATTGTGCCAAATAACTGAATAAGGTCATGTTTGAAAAAAAAAAGAAAGAAAGAAAGAAAAGGAAAAAAACCTTTATTTTAAAATTAAAAAGTTATAAAGCTTTATAATATGAAAATTTAAACCAGTGTCCTGAAGGATGATTTATACTTTCAGTAAACTCAAAGTTAAAGCAGAATCTTCCAGAGGAAAATATTTTCAGAGGACAAAATTGAAGGAGACATTTAAAACATTTTATTAGTATCTTATTTCTTTTTTGTTTTTATTTCTTTTTTTTTTTTTGTAATTTTAGATGGACAGAATGTGTTTATTTCATTTGTTCATTTACTGTAGTGCTGAGGATTGAATCCAGTGCCTCACATATGTCAGGCAAGCGCTCTGCCACTGAGCTACAGCCCCAGCCCCCACTTCTCACCTTCCTCTTAAAGATTTGGAAACACTTTGGCTCTAGTTCTTATTTTCTCTCTGTCCAGAAAAAGTGCAACAACTTGATGAAAAAATCTGAGATAGACACAGCCATTCAAGGTTTTCTTGAAAGTGTTTCTAAGCTGGCCAGAGCATTTTTTTATTTGAGCTATTTTATCATGTCCTAAATGCAGAATATAGAACATGTAGGTCTATGTTGAAAATGTTAGTTAGCATTGAACCACTGAGCCATTAAGGTGTTACCATTCTAAAATAAAAATTAAAACTGAACTATGTAACTGATTGGTCTATAATAACAGTGAATAGACATCAATGATTCACCACCCTTAAGAACATTTTACTTTCAAAAAGGTGCAATTTTCACTCATTTAAGGAAATCAGTCAACCTTGTAGTCATATTGAAGGGAATAGTGGTCACTAGAGACAAGGAAGGGAATGCAGTGGAGGGACAGAAAGAAATTATGAGAAACTTTTAGGGATAAGGAAGAGTGCTGGGGGATGGGATCCAAGAGTAGAAGAAGGGTGGCTGGACACAGTCAAAGCATAATATATATATATATACAAACACACACACACACACACACACACACACACATACGTGTGTGTGTATATATATATATATATATTTATCACTAACAATAACAGGTGTAATAATCTTCATTTTTAATTATTTAATTTAAAATGCTAATATAAAACATTCCCATTTTAAAAATTTGACATAAACTGAAAAATAAAAGTACTTTTTCCCTTCCCCAATATTATTACTCTGAATTGTAATAGGTATTTCCAAAATGCCTTGTAATGTACTAATTTACATTCGAGCATTCTGTTTCTAACTATATGTTAGAAACAAATACACGTAATTACTTGTTATTTCTTTGCTCAGAGTTTCCATGTTTATTGGTTATTAATCTAATTTAGCTTCACAACCTTCCTAGGAGTTCAAGATATTAACCCCCCAATTTTATAAACCTAAAAACAACAAATAGAGTTTAAAGTACTCAACAGTAACTTCATGGTAGACTAGGAACTAGACTTGAACTTCCTGTCTTGTGGTACTATTATTTGACCACTGACTTATACCTTCAGTTCCAACTCTCAGTATATGTGCTGCTGAAGTGGATATTCAGACTAATTAGCTTTTTAAATTGAAGACTGCAGACAATTAGTACATTGAATATTGATGAACATTGACTATCAGGTACTATTCTGGTCTCCTAATTCGTTCTCTGACTTAAAGTAAAAGTCATATTTTTGACCAGTTTGGTATTCTTTCTTACTTGGGACTCATTAGCCAACAGTTATGGAGACTAATAGAAGAATCCAATAATAAAAGGCATAGCGCATCAGAAACAACACAACTCCTGTATTTTAAAGGTTCTGGAAAATGTTTTATCTTTAGTTTCACATCTCATCACAAAATCTCTATGATGTGTGGTTGGCCACTGTGTATAGTTGTGCGTTATTACTTAAAAGACAAAAATATACCTCTGGTATAGATAGTGCTGATTAGAAGGCTCATTCCTGTCCTCAGTTGTGACAGTCACTCTATGGAGTATCTAGAAAGTCAATGGAGCTGATGTGAGCTGATAGCTCTGCTCTCCCATAAAAAGACTGGTGGCCCAAGCTCTCTCCCCTTAGATTATCAAATTGTGTCCATTGTTCTCACTTAACATTTTTTAAATGAAGCTCTTTTCCTGCTTCTATTACCACTTCTGTTCACATTTGGCCTTTCCGACACTGATGATGTAGAGTGAGGTTGTACACTACAGGGACACCTTCGAGTGAGAAAAATTATGTCCTCTTCTTTGTTGAACTAAATAAGAACCCAGCTATAGAACCATTTTGTCAAATTCCCATTGAACTCAGTTCTCTACGTCTAAACATACAGGACTAGAACCGTATTGATTCAGCTGATGTTCAGTTTTCTGCAGGGTTGTCAGTAGATGAAAGTGAAAAGGCTAGGTTAAAACTTTGGAAGGTTAAAAACAAATCTGGCTGTTTGGAACTATCAAGATAACAGTCTGAAACTGAAAGGTGAGGTCAGGTAGGCATAACCATCCTGCGTTATGAATATGTAAGAGGCAACAAAGACTCGATAGGTAGACTGAGGTTTCATAGCAATTTTGTTGACCACATATAATTTCATCTTTTGTTCATAACTTTGTATTCTCTCATTTTGATACCACACAATCTCTGTTGTTAATTCGTGATGATTTCTGTAGATTTGGATTGGGCTAGATTCAAGTTATCTCACACAGTTTTGGCTTTTGTTTTGTTTTGTCTAGCCTTTGGTGCTGAGGATTGAATCCAGGGGTGCTTGACCACTGAGCTATATCCCTAGCCCTTTTATTTATTTATTTTTTATTTTGAAAAAGGGTCTCACTAATTTGCTGAAGCTGGCTTCAAACTTGCAGTCCTCTTGCTTCAGCCTCCCGAGTTGCTAGGATTATAGGCGTGTACCATTGCACCTGGCTTTTCTTTGGTAGTACATTTGGATAAGAGGTGGCTTTGCTGGTAGAACTGAGAATAGAGTCAAAACGGACCAAAGGGTAAATAAGTAGATGAGAACTTGACTTTGTCTAGGTGCTCTGAAAAAAAGGAAAAGAAAAAAAAACAGCCTGATATTAAGCTCCCAACTTTATTTTCAGTTTTAACCCTGTCCTCTATGGCTTTGGTATAAGACAGAGCTGGTCTGGAATTCCAGCTTTGTTAATTTATGAAGGAACTAGGGCAAGTTACTTTACCCTCTCTTTATGAGTATCAGTTTATTCATCTGAAAGATGAGAATGATGTTTGGGGAACTTTTTGTTAAGTTTGTATGTCTGGTGCATGACAATAGTTGTGGAACTAGTCGGATGACAGCCGACATTGCCAAGCTGCCAAGTTGATCTCACACATTTTTATCACCAGCCCCTTAAATAAAACTTCTAACTGGTCTGGAACCATATAAACACTCAGAAGTAGTCTAAAGTTCATAAAGAGGGGCTGGGTTGTGGCACAGAGGTACAGTGTTTGCCTAGCATGTGTGAGGCACTGGGTTTGATTATCAGCACCACATAAATAAGTAAAATAAAGTTTTAAAAAAAATGTCTCATAAGTCTTTCTAATATGCAGCCAGGTGAGGCTTAATCCTGGTGAGGATTAAATACTGTTACTCATATAAAGCAAGTGCTCCCTTGATTTCTGGTTATTCCCCATTTAAAAAAAATAAAGTTTATAAAGAGAAACTGAATGAAAGTTCATTCACTCATTCAACAAACATAAGCATAAGAAGGAAGCAAAGGGCTGCGGTTGTGGCTCAGAAGTAGAGTGCTCGCCTAGCATGTGCAAGGTGCTGGGTTCGATCCTCAGCACCACATTAAAAAATAAAATAAAATAAAATAAATAAAAGGTATTATGTCCAACTACAGCTAAAATTATATAATAAAATAAAAGAAGGAAGCAAAGATGTTAGACTATAAGATAAGTCATGTACACCTCTCATTATATTACTAGGTAGAAAAGTGTCACAAAAGAAATTCAGTTAAAGTTCTTTGGAGTTTTGAGAAAGTATTTCTTTTAGCTGAATATCAGAAAATATTTTATGGAAAAGATAAGCTTAAGCAGAGTGTTAATGGGGACATGGACAAAGTATGTGTAGGACATAATGACTCATTCAATCTGACCAAAGCATGGAGTGAATGAAGGGGTAAAGTGAGATAAACCTAGATTCCCAGTGCTAAAAAAATTAAAAAATAAGAAAGATGGAATGAGAAAATAATAAAAAGGTAGATTTGGGCTAGATTGTAGAGGTGTTAGAAACCAAGGCAAAAGAATCTGAGATTTTTAAAAAAAATTTTTTTTTAGTTATACATGGACACAATATCTATATTTTGTTTACTTTTATGTGATGCTGAAGATCAAACCCAGTGCCTCACATGTGTGAGATAAGTGCTCTGCCACGGAGTTACAACTCCAGCCCAAATCTGAGATTTCGGAGCAGTGGAATAATATGACTGATATGACAATGCTTTTACTAAGAGACAGTGTATCTGGAAGCTTTGTAAAAGACTGGAGGGAAGAAGCACCAAATCCAGTGAGGAGACTGCACCGTAAAACAGGTGAAAGATAGTGCTGTGGTGATCTAAGGTCAGAGCAATGGAATTAGAAGGGAAGGAGAGGATTCCAGAGCTGAGGAACTAGAGTATGTGAGGATTAGCACATAGGTTGTGACTTAGTGATGAAGGGAGGGTAGAGTAGCACAGGCGTTCCCAGCTTCTTCTTTCTGTTATCACAAATAAAATCGTGTTTTATTTATCTGTTTCTGCCTTTGTTTTCATTAGAATAATAACAACTTTTTAGCTTTGTGTCAAGTGAAGTGTTTAATAAATTTTGAATGTTTGACAACCAATTTTATCACTTGCTAATATTATTTCATTAGGAATTAAAAGTTACTCCTGTGTTTGACTTCTCTGTTAGGTTCTTTCTAAAAGTGCTGGTCTAGAAATTTAAAAATAAAAATAAACAAAATATTGTGCCCATGTATAATTTAAAAGTTCATATTATCTAAACAACTGAATCAGAATCTCTGGGAATTGGAGTTGGGCTTCAGATTTACGTTTTAATCTCCCTAATGATTTCAATGTGTGGCTTCAGTTGAGAAATTCTGACCTTGAACAAGATACACTTTAGTCTCCAAACACACTTGCTCACATTTGCTGTTTACCCACTTATTATAAAACTCCCTGAGCACACTCATGGTGAATCATTCCTGTGCCTTAACAGCTCCCCAGAATTCCTTGATATTCAGCATCTCTGATGGTCTTTCCCCACTCCACACCACTTTTCCATCTTGGAAAAGTGAAGAATTCTGATTCTACCAGAAGTCCTACCAAGGTGAGAAAAATCAACCCGCAGCTAAACTAGACAACACTGATAGCAAGGAGAAAAGACAGAAGGAGATGAACTGCTGTGTCAATCAATTAAGAAAACTTGTCTATCACTGGACAGATTATACGAGCCAAGAAATTTTCTTAATGCTCAAGCCACTTCAAGTTAGGGGTTCCTGTTACAGCCAAAAGCATAACATACTGTATCATCAGTCCTCTATGCTCTTGAAATAAATGATTTCAGATCTTATCTACTGATATGAGACTTCAGAAATGACAAACTGCAAGCCTGAAATGTGACATCTTTTTGGTACCAGCCATGATATTTTTGTCTTAGATGGACAGAGATACTTGGAATATAAATGTTGCACAGCTGTGAAAAGTGAGTTTTGAAATCTGACATCTTTTCAAGCTGTATTCTGGCCATGGGGCTCTGTTCCTTGTTGTTCTGTTTTTAGTAGCACAAACTACATGTGAAATTTTCTTGTGGTGTTATTTCAGTGAAGTTTCAAAGAAGAAAATCATTACAAGTTCTAGGTTCTGAATATGCCCTTGAAATATAACCACAATTGTAATATTTCCAGAAACTACTGTCATCATTAAATTTTATGTGTTGAAAATACATAGAAAATTCATTTCTTCAAAAAACACTTCTTAAGCCAGAATCAGTGGCTCATATTTACAGTCTCAGCTACTTAGGAAACTGAAGCAGAAGGGTTGCAAAGAGTCTAGGGGTTCAAGGCCAGCTGGGCAATATAGGGAGACTGTTTCAAAAACCAAGAGAGAAAGGGGGAGAGAGAAGGAAGAGAGAAACTTCTGAACATACTAAAGAGTGTACATAAGGAAAGTAAGACTCTAAGTTTATATTTGCTTTCATATGCAGCAGGAAATTGGAAAGTTGAAATTACAAACAATGGTTCAGAAGCTTCAATCTTAAGTGTCCTTCATTTGTAAAGGCTTGCTTCCTGGGGTGGAACTCCTGGGAAGTGGTAGGAGATGGGAACATCATGAGAAGACCCTAGGTCATGGGGGTGTGCCCTTAGAGGGAACCCTACTTTATTCTTCTCTTTTGCTCCCTAGTCATGAGGTGAACAGTTTTGTTCCATCACACACTCCTGCCATGATGCACTGCCTCACCCAAAGCAACAGGGAAAACCAACCTAGGAGTGAAACCTCTAAAACAGAGACAAAATAAACCTTTTCTTTTCATAAGTTGGCTATATCACTTATTTGTTATAGTAATAGGAAGCTGACTAACACAAATGGTTAATTTGGTCAAGGGATATGTGGACTGGGTACATAAGGATGTTGAGGAAGACATGTGACTGAAGACCTTTAAATACTTTTTGACCTTTGAAACACTGTGATTATATTACCTATACACTCTTTTAATTATTGTTTTTCTGACACTCTTCAGCAGATTAAGAAGCATCTCTGTCTTTTTTATTAAAGTTATTAACTTTAATTTAAAAAGAAATTTAATTTAAAATATTACAAGCCAAATACAGCGGTACACACTTGTAATCCCAACAACTTGGAAGGCTGAGGCAGGAGGTTGCAAGTTCAAGGCCAACTTCAGCAACTTAATGAGAAGCTATCTCAAAATAAAAAGGAATGGGAATGTAACTCAATGGTAGAGCAGCTCTGGGTTCAATCCCCAGTACCACACGCACATACACACACACACAAAAAAAAAAATCTGAAATACCTCCATGTTAATTGACTATTCTACTATTGAGAACTCATCAACATAAGAAACCTTACCATCTTCCCACTGTCACATCAAACTTTTAGCTAAAACAATACCAAATGAGAGCCAGGAGTATAACTCAGGAGTAGAACACAGGCCCTGGTTTCAATCCCAAGCACCAAAAAAACATAAATCATTCATATATAAAGATAGATAGATACACACACACACACACACACACACACACACACACACACTATTTAAAAGCCTTTATGTGGAATGCTCTTCTTAGCCATCCTATCCTATTAGGATCTCCAAAACATCAAGCAAGCTCACACACGACCTTAAAGCCTCAGAGAGGAAACATCAACTGTCCAAGACATAGTAAAACAATGAGAGTAAAGGGACAGGAGATTTGGTTAAAGATGAGCAATAGAAAGAGGCTGAGTTGTCATTCCAGTCCAGAACATCTGAAGAAACACACAACTCTTAAAACTAACAGCTAAATATCTTATAAGTGGTACAGTTTTGGTTGGCCATAGTTCTGTAAAGGTTTGCTTCATTATCTTCCAATTTGCCCCAGCTGTTATTTCAAACCAGGTCTTTTTCTCAACTTTCTCATCTCTAGAGATAGACAGTAGAATTCAATACAAATAAAAATAATAGTAATAATAGCTAGGATTTATTGATTATATATATAATGCATCTCCTACCTAGTCTATATTTCAGGCTTAAGCTAAGCTAAGGTACTCATAGGCTCAAACAGATTCATTGTAAAAATCAATAATTAATAATAAACCTAATTTTTAAAAATGTATCCCTTGAATAGATCTGTGGATCAGAGTATAGCAACACATTATAATGGTATGAGGCCCTAAAAGTATCCATGACAACCATGTTAAAAAATAGAGGGATATGAAATATAAAAGGTTACATCTAAAATAGCTGATTACATGGTATGTAAACTTATTACAATTATATAAAAACGTGTGTGTGGATGAGGCTCAGAAGATAATGTGCAACTTTTAAGATAGCTGTGTTAGAAGGGTGGAATTATGGATGAATGTTTTTCTCAAAATTTCAATCATTTTGCTATCTATATTTTTATTTTAATCTTATATTGGTCAACATGCAGACTGAGCCACATAACAAGGTCCAATGTTCTGGAGAATTAAACAAGATCGCAGTTCGTTTCTCTCACATATTACAGACTAGATACAAGACATGCAGAGCAAATACGGTGTGTTTTAGTCAGCTTTGTGATCAAAAGACCTTACAAGAACAATATAGAGGAGGAAAAGTTTATTTTAGCTCATGGTTTCAGAGGTTCAGTTCATGGTTGGCTGACTCCATAGCTCTGGGCACAAGGCAAAGCAGAAAAACATGGTGGAAGGGTGCAGCAGAGGAGGTATCCCCTGACATAGCACCTAGAAGCAGAGAGAACTCTGCTCACCAGGGACAAAATGTAAACCCCAAATGTATGCTGCCAGAGACTTATCTCCACCAGCCACACCCTACCTGCCCACAGTTACCACCCAGTTAGTCCTTATTAGTGGGTTAATCCACTGATTAGGTTATAACTCTCATAATCTACTCATTTTACCTCTGAATCTTCTTGCATTGTTTCACACATGAGCCTGTAGGGGATCTGTTAGTCAGCTTTTTGTACCATTGCTGTGACTAAAAGACCTGACCAGCACAACTGTAGAGGAGGAAAAGTTTATTTGAGGACTCATGGTTTCAGAGGTCTCCATCCATAGATGGCAGGCTCCATTCCTAGAGGCTCCTGAGGCATAACATCATGGCAGAAGAGTGTGGTGGTTCAAAGCAGCTCACATGATGATCAGGAAGGAGAGAGAGAGAGAGAGAGAGAGAGAGAGAGAGAGAGAGAGAGAGAGAGAGAGAAAATGAATCTCCCCTGGCCAAATACAAATATATACCCTAAAGCTACACCCCCATTGCCCACCTCCTCCAGCCATAGCCCACCTTCTTCATTTACCACTCAATTAATCCTATCCCCTGACTAATCCACTGATTGGGTTGTCTCACACCTCACATCCAAACCATAACAGGGGATACTCATATCTAAAGCATAACCCAGTAGTTCTACTGTGTCGGAACTCAAGTGCCTATCTTTATTCTGCCTCCCTTCTTCAATTTGTTGATTTCACAACCAAATTTAGCATTATATGAACATCCTATAATGATTTTTTGGAAAATATTTTTTATTTGTAAATGGACATGATTATTTTATTTATTTACTTTTATGTGGTGTGGAGGACTAAACCTAGAGCTTCACACATTGTAGGCAAGCCCTCTACCACTAAGTTACAACCCCAACCCATATATCAGTTTATTTTATTTATTTATTTATTTATTTATTTTAGATGGATACCTTTTTTTTTAAATTTATTTTTATGTGGTGCTGAGGATGGAACCCAGTGTCTCACACGTGTTAGGCAAACAATCTACCACTGAGCCACAACCCCAGCCCCTCTATAATGGTTCTTGTTACCTGCCTTATTGATAAGCCAGTACAAATCCTTTAAATATTTACTGGAGGTCATTTAAGCAGGTTCAAAGGTAAATTAACACAAATGTGAAGACATATTCTTCATACTAAATTATTAGTAATCATCACCTTTGACACTATGATTTCTGTGTTAAGGTGTGAGAAAATTTAGAGGGGTTGAAGAGAGTGTTTGGCATGTTAATATTTCTCATGTACCTTTATGCTAAAAGCACATAACATAATTTATTCCATATTATATGTCTTCCTGGCATGGCACATAGGAAGCCACTTGAAAGTCATATTGCTCACAAAATGAATGACTCAAAACTTTAGCTTTCATATAATCATAGATTCAAGAAAAATTTTCTTTAAAGAAAATTTGTTAATAATTTTGAGGACTAAGTCCTCAATTTCCTGAACAAAAGCCATTATTTTCCTCATAAATCAGAGTTGCCTCCTGGGTTCCATGTTGGTTCATGGCCATACAATCCTCCAATCACATCATGGTATCTACTGTTTCCCCCACATTTCCAGCATCCAGGGAAGAGCTCACAAGTACTCTCCTCATTGCCTCTCAACTTGGTAACAACTAACAATTTCCTAACTCTTCTTACGACATCAATTTTGAATTCTTATGGCATCGGAGGTGTATTCTAATTGAGGTTCATCTCACTTTCTAGCATTTTCTCTCACTATAAACCCCCAAACATACCTGATCCCTAAATAAGTCAAAAAACATTCATGCCTTTGTTGTCCATACCCTTTCAAGTCTAGAATGCTGAAATACGTCGCCTTCCTTCTTCAATAAGATTAAAACCTTGCTCATCTTCTGATGCTCAACTCAGTTGCCACTTCCATAGGTCCTCTTGTGCCATCCCATCAGGAAGAGCTGCTCCAACCTCGGTACCCTTCCCACTACTTCCTCCAGTAATGATCATGTATTACTATTCAAATTTATTATTATTATTAATACTGTGAGCCAGACACTTGGCTGAGAAAACATCAACTCATTGAATCATCACCCATTACTATTCTACCTTAAAGAGGCTTCTGCACGATTCAGTCACTCTTTCACAAGCATGCAGCTAGGGAGTAGAGAATTTAAATCCAGACCCTCCATCTCCAGAGACCAGCTTCTTCTAGAGCATTGTGCCTGACACTAGTGGTATTCATAACTCTGTCCCTCCATCTAAACTGTAAGCTCTTTGAGATAGGAGGGTATACGTCTTTGTAGCTCTGTAGCCTTACACTGTCTGGTACTGTGTTTTGTACACAATAGCTGCTTAGATTCTTCAATGAATAAATAGAAAAGAGGCTGTGGAATTTCCATCAGTCTGATAGCGTTTTCTTACACAACTCCATTCTTTCCTATCAGACACCTTCCCGGCTCATTGGTACAGATCATGAACTGCATGAAGTCCACAAAAAAGACGCTGCAGGGATCACAGTGCTCGGAGGTCTACGCTAGCTGCACTGCGGGCTCACACAGGCGTGACACTCAAGAGCCAACTAGAAATATGACAGCCGTTTGAGCTCATTTCCACACAACTGGTGGCAGTTTTGTCTAAGCTGCAAGCATCCCAGCCCTCCAAACATTACCACCATGATATTTATTGAGCAATAACAATTGCTAGATGCAATTCAGAATGTTGAATTAGGCATCATCTTTACCCAGGAGAGTTGTAATTTAAATTCCACAGGCTACAGAAACATAAGGAGGATAGAGGCAATGGCCTCCTCCTCTCTCTCTCTCCCCTTACCTGTATTCAATAAACGACATGATATTCCTCTGGTGAGTCAGACACTGAATTAGGGGTTCCCCAAAGATGTATTAACTCATTTCACACTGAAATGATGGTGTACTGTGTGCTGAAGTAGGTGACTTGCCGTATAGACCCCAAACAAGTAAGTACAGCTTCTAAATGGGATTAATGTTCTAACTAACGTCATTTATGACAAGAGATCAAAGACGCAGCCAAAGTTGGTCCTATAAAAAAATTGTAAAAGACTGGAAGTATCAGTCTCACCTCTCCTAACAGCATCACTTTCTGCTCTCTGTTGTGTGTTTCCTTTATTCCACTGGGCTCCCTACCTCTGATTTACGCTAATCTCCACTAAACATTTAACCCGCAAAGGACCAATTAATGCATTACATTTTAAAGTTAATTTTTACTTCAACCAAAGTAATGCATGGACATAGTTTAAAAAATAAAGCACAATGAAAAGCAGTCCCCTAACCCACACCTCTCCAACTCCTGCTGATTCCTTAGATCATTGCTTTTAATTCCTTGATCTCTCTATTTCTTTTGGTGTTTACATCCCTTTTTCAGATAATGGATTTATGCTGTTATTTCTTGAATCTTGAATTTTAAACATTTATTTAATTCATTCTATAGAAAACAAGTTACCTCTAATGCATTCCTTCAGACACTCCAAACATACACACCTATTTCCCCCTTATCCATCTTTCCAACATAATTATAGCATATGTTTAAGTTAAATCCATAATCAAAGTTTGATAATTATGAATATATAAATATCATTTACAACTTAGTCATGGAGTATACTATAACCACATTTCTTGTACAGCTTTATTTCTCAAGATTGTATGCTTTCTGGGCTGGGGATGTGGCTCAAGCGGTAGCGCGCTCGCCTGGCATGCGTGCGGCCCAGGTTCGATCCTCAGCACCACATACCAACAAAGATGTTGTGTCCGCCGAGAACTAAAAAATAAATATTAAAATTCTCTCTCTCTCACTCTCTCTTAAAAAAAAAAAAAAAAAAGATTGTATGCTTTCTCCTCCTCCTTCTCCCTCCTCCCTGTCTCCTTCCTCTACTCTATTGGTCTCTCTTCTATTTTTGTGAGATCATATTTTTATTTCTTCCCCCCCACACTTCTTCATTTTAATGGAGCATAGTCCCCTGTAGGGGTACAGGTGCAACAACTCTGTTGAGACCTTACATATCTGAAAACACATTCATGTTTAGATAGGTGTAGAATTTTATATTGGTAAGCATTTTCATGAGATTTTTTATATCTTTTCTCCATTGTTTCATAATTTTTAGTATTTAATAGATTGAAAACCTGAGGTCTGGTATAGTCAGTGGCAGAGCCAGGCCTCAAGCCCAGGGATAGCCTTCTTCTTAAATAATCAATTTCTAGGCACTAAAATTTGGGAGTATGAACTCCCAGCAGTATTTGCAGCTTGATAAGGAATTTATTGGTAGACCTAAAGCTTGCATCAACATATAATTATTATGGTAAAAATCAAGATATGTAGTTAAGGTGGGGAACAGGACACCTCAAGGCACAGGATAGAACTACTTTTCTATTTCTGTTCAACGTGTCAAACTGGTAGCCTGACCTAATGTTTCTTGGGACTCCAGAAATTGGGTTTTGGAACACAGTTCTCCATGGAGCAATCATATTTCTGCACATCTTACCAAGAGGGGCGCTGATTAACTTTGTACCAGACTATCTTTTCAAACATGTATGAAACAGACAAACAGCCATATCTGGCACATAGTGGTTTGCTGTAGGTCAAAGGGCAGGTTAGCTTTCAGCCCTGGAATACAGAGATTTTCTCTCCTACATCAAAAGGTAAACATGCCTATTGCCCATTGTAAATTATTTGGTTTCTCTAAACTCGGGGTTCTTCATCTATAGTACTATGTTCTGCATGTACAATTATCACCTGATGCTCTTCCCCTCTCCTGAGGGTTACTGGGGCTCGGGAAAATGGCAGAAATGCTGATGCTGTCTCTCACTACTGCTAATGCTGTATCTCTGACCCAGGAGTATCATACCTTCTACAAGCTCCCTTAAAACTGTGGTAGGCTAACTTATATTAGTTTGTTATAGGATAACATTTCAGTCTCCTTTTGGTTTTTGAAAGATTTGCTTCCAAAAAATACATAAAAGAGACATTTTATGGATATATGGATTAAATAAATTTTCCTATTTAAAAAATTTGGCTTTTTTTTTTTTTTGCTTGGGAAGACAGAATTCAAACCAAATAATAGTCTAGGTATGTAGAATTTAATTATATTGAAATTTGGTTTCAACAAATTAAATATTTTGCAATGCACCTAAAGTACTGACATGTTTCTTCTTAATATTCAATATTTTTATCATCAAGCAGTCTCTATTTTTTCAGAACTCATCACAAAATTTTTATCCTCTCATTCGTGACCATTGGGGAGGTAACAGAAAAAAGAATCCTTACAATTAACGAAAGCCTTCAAAGTCTATTTCAATTCTTTAGACTCAAAATATAATAGAATATATTTAAAATTGTAGAAATCTTTAACTGAGCCTATAATATCAAAAAATGTCTTTTGAATATACGGTCTCTGTTATCCATTCCTACTCTCAGTATCATTGGCAACACCATTGAATGTATTAAGGACTGTGAACCTCCACCCTGGAAAATGGTTTACATTGAATATTATTGCAAGTTAATATTCATTATCCCTGTCAGGGTCTAAATACCCGGATGAAACACAGTATCAAGGAGAAAACACCTGTTCTCCATCATGCAACATGTAGTTCTGGCCCAAAGAGAAAGAATATTTTAGAGCCTAGCATCTGTGAGAGTGAGTCTCTGGAACATAGCAATTCTTAAAAATTTGTTTATTAGATTATTGCCAACTCCTATGGTCATCTGTTGCAGAGGTCACTCAAGAAAACTATAAGAAGGTTCTAGGATGGATCAAACCAGCACTATGATGAATTCATGATACAGCTGTAGTCAAGGAAGAGGAACACAGGCTGGGAATATAGGAAAATACTATTCAAATTTTAGCTCCACTCTGGCTAGTCATGAAGAACTGGGCATGTTTTCTACCTTCTCTGAGTTCAACCTCCTTGTTTGAAAACAGTCTATGAAAATACCCAACAATACTGTTCTTAAGGATTACAAAACAACATTATATGCCAAATGTCTAACATATAAAGGACTCCTAATAAATATCTTTTGAATCCAAATTACAAAGAAGGCCTAGAGCAGTGTTAAATCTTCCATGCTAAAATGATAAAGAATCCTAAGACCCATTAGAAATCTGACATCTCTATTTAAAATAAGAGACTGTTTTTTTTCCTTATGGTAATTACAATGGTCAGTACCTCAATTAAAAAAAAAAAAAAACACAACAGTCAATTCTAGACAAAACAAGACACTTGGAAGCTGAGCTACAGGTAACCTCAATCTCAGTTTATTATAATAAGATGAAGGTGGAAAATACTTGTAATAACAATTCATAGACAGCTTTGAAAGCCAGGTAGGGAGGAAGTTTGGGCTTTATACTGTAGGGGGAAAAGGAAATGGTTACTGTTTCCAAACTAGGGAATGACAATCAACTTAAAGAAAATCATTTTGATAGCAATGTGTAAACCAATTTAGTTAAGGTTAAAGAGTGAAGTAAGCAGAATCAGTTATGAGGCAATTAAAAATTCTAGACCAGAGTCACCTGACATTCAAATAGTGATGGTGCTAGTATTGATGTATCTGAGTTTAAAAAATAAATAAATAAATTTACTGCCTATAAACTGCTCATAGAAAATGAGCAGTTTATCCTTCAGATGATAGTGTGTTTATCATACATTAGGCCCAGTTACCGCTTCACAAAATAATTCCTTCATATAGTTGAGTTGATTGCTTTACATATCATTCTTAATAAGATGGATACAAAAATGTATCATAGTTTAAAACAGACACTTTAAGTAAGGTTTACTTATTTATTGTGACACAGACTACAGTTTTAAAGGAGGGGAGCAGAAAATGATCTTGCAATGTCAAGGTATAAATTTGAGAGTGCAATGAAACAAATCAAAATTTTGGCTTAACTTTTTAGCTTATAAACATGTTAAGTTTTTAAAATGTGATTAGAATAGGAAACAGGTGTTGACCCTGATTATTCTATCACAGGTCTGTGTGAATGCAGAAGGCTTGCTCGTTGTAAGGAATTGTGACCAGCATTTTAGTTATACAGGGCACAAGAAATCATCTCATCATTTATGTTCCATTTATGCCTGGAAACTCATCCTCTCCAATATTGCCATGGTTTTCAACAAGCGAGATCATTTAGGCTTGCCATCTCAGGGGCTATTAGGAAATATTGGGTGGACATTACTGGGTTCATGTGCTTGTTTACTTCTTTCATTTTTCTCTTTGCTGACCAAAGGAAATTACAAACCATTACGGGCAACCATGCCATCATTACAGATTTATGAGAAAAATAAATGAC